AAACCCCCCCCCCCCCCCCCAAAAAAAAAAAGGATTAGTAACATCCTGATGGCTTCTTAGCATTGAAAAATTGACTGTCGTTCTCTACTTGAAACACTGTATGGTTTTATGCTTAATGAACATGACCAACACTTTAAACATTTATTAGGCCATCCTGGCCACAGGATTAGATTTGTCTGCCATCAACTAATATGAGAAAAGAGGGATCAGAAAGTTTAAAGATTTGCTTATGGTCTTACTAACTGGAACACAAGTTTAGATTCTGAGGAACCATGATTTTAGCTTCTCTTTCTTACCAGCAAGAGCTTCCATTGAGTGCAGAACAATTGAGAATTCAATCTTTTGTTCTACAAACAAGGTAATAGTGCTCTACCTTGTGACACAGTGAAACATAGATCTGAATATGATCTCCAGTTTCTAGGTCAGCAGAGGCTGTGAGCACTGCCAAGGTTAATACCTCCATGTCTACTATTTGCTGGTGTAATACCACTGTCAAAAGAAATTTCAATTCCAAAGCAACTATTCCGTATTGCATTACACAGAGGCCTAGAAAGTGTTATTATGAGGTTTGTATTTTGGTTTCTATTGCCATACAGATTGTGATTGTTAACAGCTATCTGAAACTGATTTTATTAAGAACATTTCTGTGCTTTTCCTCAGGAGTGTTGTTAGAGATGTTTCAGGTCAGGCTCCCTGGAAGAGAAACCATAAACTTTGCTCAAGCACTCAAAATGAAATGTTTGTGTTAACTCAGCTAACAAACAGCTGAAGTGAGAGTCTTTAAACCACTCTTCCTTTTTAGCGTGGGCAGAAGGAAGAGTAATGACACACACTTGAGGAAATGTATCACAGGAGACTTGAAATCATGTACATTTAGTGCTGATGATCTCGCTTGGGTCACTGGGCAGCCATTTCAGTGGCTGGATGCTGCCAGTCCAGGGCCTTTTGAAGTGACAGGCAGGTTGTAACTAAACAGAGATTCAAAAGCCTGAGAACTCTGTAGGAAATCCTCCCTAGGCAGTGATGACTGGAAAAGTGTTTTGGAAGGCATTTGAGTGTGTGAGTGCAGGTTTCTCTGCAGCAGAAGAGGTGAGAATGCTCAAGTGAGAACAGACATCTCAGTGCCTGCTCACATGTCCGTGCTGCAGCCAGCAAATTCATAGCCAGAGAAAAGAGGCTGCTCCCATCTTTGCCTTGCTACATCTCTGCTGGCATGCACATGGACAGAGTGTGTGGCTTTCCATCCATACCCCTCTGAGATCATTCTCAGGCCTCCTCCAGGCTCCCACAGAGCTGCAGCCTGCAGTGCACCAGGAACCCTTCGACAGAGCTCTCCCTTGTGTGGTTCCCTGGGAACCCCAGAGAAAACAGCTGGATCTGGCCCTGGGTAGCACAGGCTGCCTTGTGTGCTGGGTCAGACTGGAGAGCAAGGAAAGAGCAGCTGTGGGTTTTTAAGCAGCAATAATTCCCTAATCTCTCACACATTTCCACGGGAGTTTCAAAGAGAAGCGTGCTTCATACCAGCTCACGCAGCAGCACCCGTGTCATACACTGCTGAAGCACTGATCCAGTGCAAAAATTACATGCTGTTACTCCATCTTCAGTAGGGATACTGGTGCATGTAAAGCAGCTGGTTATGTGGCAAAATGTGCTTTAACTTGAATTTGGATTGTTGGCTTATTACTCCGAAGCTATGTAGATCTCCCAGACTCTTCGTTTTCCAAGTAACTGTCCAAATATCTACCTAAACTTAACAGTGTTTACTGGTATTTAGTGGAAGAGATTAGCTGTCTGCTATTGTAAAGCAGAAATCCCAGTTTCTCTGTGTTTTTTTGCAGGACACTTGAAATCTTTGAGAGGTTTTCAGGGCTTTAGTCCTCATACCCTTTCACAAAGGGAAGAGCAAGAGCAGGTTAATTATTCTGAACTCAGCAGTCAGATATTGTAAAGGAAGTTTTCAAGCACCTGGCTGCAGCAGGAACAGACTTTTCTGAACAAGAAGCTCAGCCAAACCAGACTGCTCCTTCAAAAGCTGTCCTGCCAGTGCTGCTGTCATGGAACAAACAATGCCATGTTTTACATCAGGGATATGTTGAAGAAAATCACACATTTTACTACCGAAAACACTGCATTTTTGGAACTTCCATGAAATCATAAAGATTAATGAGATTGCATTACATTTCACGAAGTTCTAGTCTGTGGGGATGTCTGGACTTCTAAGTGGGATTTGTCTTATTAACCTCCTTTTTCTATGGGATAGTATACAAATCATCGCATTCACCTGATGTAGAGATTTTCATATTCCACAGAGCAATATGGAAATGAAAATCCCTTAACATCAAATGAACTGCCCTTAGTATTCAGGGTTTCCTAATCCTCTAGTGATTGAAGATAAAATGCTTTTGGGGGATAAAGTGGGAGCTGGATACCCACAAGAGTGCAGAAGACATTTTTCTGTTACCACATTAAACTGATAGACCATGTTTCCCACTATTGATGATGTAAGGAAACTCTGGCTGCCTTAGGTCCTAAAGTTGCTGTAGCTCCCTTACAGCAAAGACAGGATAAGGTCTCTGCACTAAAAAATTGACAGCATCCACTAAATTCTTATCAGGCAAAACCTTCTGACTTCATAATCATCAAGTCCATTCACACTATGAATAATTTTGATCTCTTATGGTGTAATGAGTAGCAAGCCCAGCTTCGTGTGGGAAAACTACCTTGGTTTTGGTTTGGGTGCAAGTACCTGCTGTGACCATGATAAAAATCAAAATTTAAGTCCTACAGCTTCAGAAGCAATGGAATCTGTACTGAGCATGGGAAGGAAGCAAGTCTGAATTATTAGCACACTGGAGGAATGCTTTCTCAAATTTGGGATCCCTGAAGCACTGTATAAGAAAAGCAGCCACGAATACAACACAGTGAGATTTTAAGCTGAAGTTACTAATTTTCTTTTGGAGTCTGCTCTTGAAAGGATGTTTTTTTAATGTTTCATTGATTGATTGATTGATTATACCACAAAAAAAAAAAAAATCTGATATAACAACTCAATCCTAAATTGTTGCAGCAGCCCTGTAATAGGGGAGTAGGCATAAAACAGTGACATAGCAGTAGCTGGATTCTATATGTGCCATTTAATTGCATGAAGCATCCTTGTTTTTCAGCCTCTTTTGAAAAATTTTGACCTCTGTTTCCTGCCTCTATTATACTGTCTTCCAGAGCACAATTTAAAATTTAATGCATTAATAAATGCCATCAAGAAAAATATCCAGATAATTCACATTAGGTGCCATGAATAATTATAAAATCAATCATCAAAATGATCTTCCCTAAAATTATGCATTTTTCCTTTTCATTGCATCATTAATTTTGAGGTCTAATCCTGTATACTCTGGCTTTCCAACACTCCTGCTGATGTCAAGCAAACCCTCATTAAACTCAGATGTTCTTCCCTGCTGGTTCAAGATCTAGCTTCAGAGCCTATTTTTACAGTTCCTGAGACTTTATTTCTGTTTTCTAAGAAGGTCTGAGGAAACCCAGTGTACCATATCTAACCCAAAAAAAAAAAAAAAAAAAAAATCTTGCAGACATTTTATGTACAGAAAACTCAGCTGTGCTGATTTTGGAAAATGCCTCTTCACAAGAAGTTCTGGGATGACAGGGAGTGGATGTGGGACTTTTTTCACAAGATCAGAGAGTTCTAGTCCTATCATGATTTGGTGCCTATGGTACCCTCACCTATCCAGTCTCTGAAGCATTATTAGCAGTGTTACCCATCCTTACAAATAACTCATATCATGTATTGTTTACCACTCCAGAGGGAAACACCAGCAGCTTTTTGACCTGTTTTATGTTCCAGATGACTTCATCTGACTTGAGAGCTGCACTGGAGCCTTCACATGTGAGCATCTATGCCAGAAAACCAGAGGAGTAACTCAAAGAAATTAAGAAATAAAGGATACAGCTCCCTGTACTGTCACACTGAATGCCTGTGTGACTTTATATGACATTTGCAATATCATGGAAATTCTCACTCCTATCAATGAAAATTATTCTGACCAACAGTGGTGAATTAAAATGTAAGCCCATGCAAGAATAACAGTGGTGCTTTTTGTACAGAAAGAGTCCAACAAAAAAGTCCATTCTTTATTTGTTTATGGGTGGGACTTGTAAATAATATGAGTTTAGTCGTTGATTTAAGAAAGAGGTATTTTTCCTATTAATATAAAAATGTCATTTTCCAGGTTTTGATATATGGTGGTTGGTATATTCCAGCAAGAAAGACTGAGGCCATATTTATTTAGTGGTTTTCTATATATGATTTCAATGATTGAGCTGAGAACTCAATTACTGAATCCCCATTTTGGGCATATATGCAAGTGGTTTTGACTCCCACCTGTAAGTCACAAGAATAGGGCTGTTTAATAAAATTCGTATCATCTGAAATGCAGGAAATACACATTTATTTTACGTTATCATCATAAAAATAGTTTCTAGTCACGTTTATTCTGTGTTACAGAAGTATTAATTTTTCAATACTGATGTTGATTTTACCAGCTTACTATGCCACATTAAGTGTTTAGTTCCTGCTTGCTCTGCCTGACTTGTAGCTGGACAGATTCACTGCTCTTACCTGCCCTTCCATCTGTCTGGATGTTTATAAATGTTAATCACAACAGTCCTATGCTCTGCATCCTCCATGAATAAATGGAGGAATGTACCTGGCAGAGCTGTCACACAGCTACACTCACACATATATTCTGTGAAAATTTCTACCATAAAATACACTTTCATGTTTTTTTTAGTGCTTCTAGGGCACCACACAGGTAGTCAGACATCTTCATGACTGGCCAGTGTGAGATCCTTCATGGATATGTTCCCTATATTAGCTGTCTTCTCTAATTTTCTTCAGCTGCTCCTCTTGTAATTAAAATAAAATGAACACCACTATGTTTTCTTTCTTTATTTCTCTTTAGCAGCTCCTGGATTTATTTTATTAAGTAGTTCTCTTGATATCCATAAAAGATATTTTGCAAAACCCAAGGTTGCCCTCCCCAAAAGCATATTATCAATACAATATATTGTCTAGAAGTTATATTTACCCATGATCCTTTTACAACTGAAACATATTTTCTCCTATATTTAGAGGATAATAAAAATGGTAATTTAAAATAATTCTGTATTGAAGATGATCCATTTTCCAGTGTTTCCTGTCCATATTATCTGCATCCTTCTGCTCAGTCGTGAAAGAATGGGTTTCAAAGTGACACAGCCCTGGTAGAAATTCCTCTGTCAAGACAACATCATCAAGCTGATGTTTTTACAACTATAACTCAATTCCCTCAATTTTGTGGCAAGCTAATAACACTGATATACCTTTAAATTGTTGAGTAGCAGGCAGTAATTTCCACGCTGGAGTATTTGCTTCTCCCCACCTCCAAATAATAAATATGAGAGCCTCCTCTTGATTCACAGTGCCTAGTGTTTTTTAGAAGGAAGAATTCTCATCTTTCCATTTTGGTCCATTTCCCCCTCACAGAATAGGCCAGAAAATTAATACTGTGCAAGGCTTATGATTCCTGTCTTTCTCTATTGGCAGTGCTTTCTTTTCAGTTGTCACTTGTGTCAGAGTGTGATCCTACAGTGTCGTCCCAGTGGGGGACAGGCCAATACCATCTGAAAGCATTTCTGGTTATAGGTCTGGGAAGAGTCAGATCCAGGCTGCCTTTGAATCACAGAGGACACCAGTTGTCTGAACCAAGCTGAGAGCAAGATTACATCTACACCAGTCCAAAGGTGCATATTGACAAAAAGGTAATGAGCATACACCAGTTGCCTCTCAGAAAAATCTCAGGGGAAGCAGAGGCTTGCAGCTTCCATTGCAGCATAATGAGCTGTGGGAAGGCTCACAGCACTGACCTCAGCTAGACCTGCCATGTGACAGGTGTCTGGGCTTTGCCTGATGGTAACTAGATTGTTAGCTGCTGCATGAAAAACCTCTGGAAGTAGGGAAAAACACTCTGAAACTCTGCTGGAAGATTGTACCTGTCCCTGTAAGGGCCAGGTTTCTGCAGAATACTGTAGCACTGCGTGTGGCTGCGTTTCTTTTGTAACACGTTCACAATCCTTTCTCCTTTAATAAGGCTGGTCTTTCCTGCCTCTGAACTTTGGTTTGGTATACATACAGCTGACATAGATACTAGTTTTTATCCTGTACCTGGGATCTGTGTTACACCTGCTTCCCCTGATCTGAAGGCACTTTTCTGGGGGAAAAATAGCATGGTAGAGAAATTATACTCATATTTAAAGTGACTTCCTGTGTTGTGCTCCCAGACTGCATAGGAACAGAGATAAAAGCAGCCTAAGCAATTAGTTCTTCTGGTAGGATAATTTATGTTTAACTTCTGCTTTTTGTGCAGATATCCTTTGTGTGTGGGGAGGTGTGTGTGTGTACATGCTTAAGTACACACAGCCATATACATACAAGTATGTGCAAGTCTGATATTTTAGACTAATTTGAGGGGGACCAGGATATGTTTCTAAAGGAGACCCCGCAACTGCTCTCCTCAGGGAGCTGAACTACAGTTTCCTTCTTCCCATGTGCTATATGTGCACTGCTTCATAACCATACTTGAAATTCATTACCACCTCTTCTTGAAGGAATTTCTATCATGTAGAGATACCTTTAGTTCAAAAGATGTTCGGGAATAGTTCTTAAACCACATATTCACATGAGACAAGCTCTTAACAGATTCTCTTCTTGTGTAATTCATATAGCACAGGAGATATGACAGCCAGCTGTGCGCTGCTACATTTTCTAGTAGATGCTTAACCCTATGAAAAATCACATCCTGCTCTTTTTTCCTACTTCATTTTTTTCCCTGACATTCCTTAAAGCCTGTTTTTCTAGAGCAAAGAAAGGAAAAAAAATTTAGACAATAAACTCTCCCTGTGTTATAATCCACCACACCCAGCTCTGCTCTTTGCAAAATAAGAACTTGAAGAAACTGTTCCATTCTTCATTAACAAACCCACCAAATAAATATTTTAAGGCATATCAACTAATTTCATTAGCAAATTCTGAACATATTTTTACCAATATTTCCTCCTGAGATGACAGTCTGAACTCTTTTTCTCTCCCTCCTTCAACTCCCCATGTTACCTCCCCTAGGGAGGCTGAATGCTGCTGATTGTGCAAATTCAAGCCCATCAGCACTTGTCATCTCTCATGGAATTTACCCTTTGACATTCAGCTTCTACATCCCACTTGCAGGCAGAAGTTTTATATTTGCAAAGCACAGAAGTTGTTTCCTTGGAAAAAGCAAGAAATATATTTGGGGTTTTTTTATGGGAAAGATTTTTTTAATGTCCACATAAACTGAATGGCCAAACTGGACAGGTTTTTGTCCAGCTTTTCTTGCCCCATAATCTAAACTTTGAATCCAGACTTTCAAGACCTTGCATTTTAACTCCAAAGTACAGACAGTCATCTCTACTTCCTTTTTTAGTAAGTATTGTGATAATATTATCTCACAAGAGTAGCCACACTTCTGCTTTTAATAACAGTCTTGTACACATATGCTTTAAAAAATAAGAGAATAAGATAGAAACTTCTAAGAGCTTTTCATTCTTGTTCTATCTGACATGAGGAACTCTTAGGTAGGGGAAAGTCTGTCCTCATTTACACCTGTTAAGCCTCATTGAAATCAGTAGGGTTGAGCTAATGTAGCTGATTACAGTTTGGCTCATAATCTGTCTCCTGTTAACTCACAACACCACTTCCCGCAGGTGGAACAAGAGGAGCTCTGCTGACTGCAGTGCTCCATTTATAGAAAATAGCAACATGCCCATTACTTCTCTGTAGATCATGATGTTGGCTGCTTTGTCTGACAAGAAACATGTATCTAAAGATACAAAAATTTGCAGAAATCTCCTTCCTCTTTGTAAATGAGTTTGTTTAGCAATACCATCTACTAATGGATATGAATAAATTAATTTTGGACCTCATTTGCAATTTTTATTTCACTCAGAAAACAGCAGGACACACTTATACTATAAATCTGTGTTAAGAGGTTAGCTTTGTTACACTTGTTTTCTGTATCAGATCTATATTGCCTTCTAACTACATTTTCACTGTAGAGCTCATTATTTGTTGGAGTTCAGTCTTCAAGGGTATATTTGGGTCATATTGTTAGTGCAACAGATTTATCTGTAAACACATAGCAGGACTTCTTTTAGCATTCATTCATAGAGAGGCACTTCCTGAATTGCTGCACAATCTGGATAAAACTTTGTCTCAGATCCTGATGGAAAAGGTCAATTATCTTCTCCAAAAGAAAAATGCTAAATTCTTAGTATTTCTCTTTCTCATTGCTGTGTTAGAGAGCAGAACTATGAAGAGGAAAGCAAAGAATAAAGGCGATATTTTTTTTGTTCTTCTGGTACCTGTCTGGGTATGGGATGACAGCATTAGGATCATGTTGTGCCACTGGAGTCCTAAAAAACATGACTTTAGAGGCTAGTGGAGAGGTTCAAAGTATGCCTAGCTTTGGATTGCCATCAGCTTTGTTACCCTTCTTGTATCACCATTGCTAAGGACTGCTTAGCTCAGTGAATTTAAATAATGGGCTGTGCCTGACGCTTAGACCTTTGTAGCCTGATTTTCTAATAAAACAAGGCGTCTGCATTCCATACAGAGAGAGAGAGACATGGAGACCATAGGTTCCTGTATTCCTGAACCGCAGATTCCTGACTCCCAAACCTGTGAGATACCGCTGTCTGTGTGCGGTGGTTATGGTGAGCTCAGGCCTCGATCCCTCAGCCTCGGCTGGGTCTCGTGAGGCAAAGCGCCATGGCAAACCACATCTCACCAGTCTATCAGTCACTAACCTCTGTGGGATTTGGTGCACACCCCATGGACTGCATAATCAAACCTTTCCAGAGCTGTCTCTTCAGCCTTTGTCCCATTACCTGTGGTTGTCTGGCGCAAGTACACAATGGCAGCGAGGGAGTTCAGTGTGGGTGAGTCGAAGGTACGTCATATTTCCTCTAGGAATGGGGAGCGCAGGCATTCCTCATTTTTCCAGATTTTAATTC